GGGTTCATGAGGGAGGGGGCAGTGGGGAGGGAAGGGAAAAATGAGTTGATGCCAAGGGCTTAAGTGAAGAGCAGATGTTTGAGAGTGTTGAGGGCAGCGGATGTACAAATGTGCTTTACACAATTGATGTATGTGTGGATTGTGATAAGAGTTGTATGAGCCACCAATAAAATTATTTTTTTTAAAAAGAAAGAAAATGATGATGGCAGCATATGTGCAAATGTGTTTTACACACTGGATGAATGTATGGATTGTGATAAGAGATGTAAGAGACCCCAATAAAAGTATTTAATTTTTAAAAAATTTAAGAGTTACAGTCTCGGAAATCCACCAGACAGTCTACCCTGTCCTATAGGGTCGCTATAAGTCGGCAGGGAGGGACTCGATGGCAGGGCAGAACCAAGCAACCGGGCCTCAAGAGCACTTAATCCCTCTGGCCTTAGCTTCAGAGTTCTCATCAGAGAAATGGGGAGAAGGTGAGGGGGCCTGGGGTTCTGTAGTCAGGTGCCAGGGTCAAGCTGACTCCAAGGCACCGGAAACACCAGCCTCATTGGGGAGCCGGCAAGGACCAAAGGAGTTGTGTGTGTGAAGTGTTGTCCCTCAGGCTTGACCCAAAGCTAATGTCCAGTGAGGTGTAGGTCTCGATTTGATTGCAGGTGGAGCGGAGCTTCAGATACCTTGTGACCCTGACCCAGCCTCGTCCAGGTGGGGCGATGCAGGCCACTGTGCGACAAAGTGTAAATAGAGGCCGTGAGCTGGTTCCTCCAGTTCTCTTTCCTGGGAGGTGGGGAGGGAGGGAGTGTTGTGCGGTGGTGTGGTGTGTGGTGGTATGGGGTGTGTGTGTGTGTGTTTAGAGACCTAGGATAGTAGAACGGAAGGAATGAGCCAGAATGATCTCATTTGCTGCTAAGAGTCTACAGACCCACGATGAGGCCATGGAGACATGGACTAGGGCCAAGAAGAGATCGGTGACGGTGACGAGGTTGGCTGGGACCTGATGTACAGGTGCTGGGATACATGGCTCCAGGCTGCCTTGGGTCCAAAGCAGGAAGTGGCTTCCCTCCCATAGGAAGGCAGCCCACATCTGGGACCTGCCAAGTTCTCATGGCAGGAACCACAACCATCTTTTGGCCTTTCTGGTTACAGGCGCACACCAGCCACCTGCCCAGCTTGCTCTGGGACGCCCACGTTGCTGCTCCTGGGCTTTCAAGGGCAGGGCTTCCCCTCCAGTAGGGTGGGGAAACACCTGAGGGCTGGTGCCTCAGTGGGACTCGGTGGGACAAACCAGCTTTGTCCTGGAGTCTGTGGAAGCATAAGATTCCTGCCAAAGGGACAGGAAGGCAGGTTTCCAAAATCACTGTTGGCTCTTTTTCCTAAGTGGGCGTGTTCTACATCTCTTGGTTCTCGCCTTCTCTGTCACTGCCACCCCTCTTACCTGCAAAAGCCTCCTAACTCGTGCCCTCACATCAGAGCCCCGTGGGGCTCCCACTGCGTGTGCCCGACGCTCTAGAAATCTGCCTTGATTGCTAATGAGGGTGGGGGGTGGGGAGGCCTACCTGGCTACCTAATTGAGAAAACAAAAGTCTCCCCAAGGTAAGGACACGGGCCCAGGGTCCCACGCGATGCGCGGCAGAGGCAGACACGGAGGAGCTGCCTGAGGCCCAGTTCATCGTTGTTCACTTAAGCTTCCGTTCTTGGTCCAGACTTCTCTTCCTCGATCCCCTGCTTTTCTGAACTCTTCAAGGGCACCCCATGATAGAGAGCTGTGGCCTCTCAACTCTTTGGATCTTGCACCCCGGCAGGTAAAACTTTTAGAGCTCACCTTCCATTATATGTTTATTTTCACTATTCATAAATTATTTGCACATACTACCGTCCTCTGGAATTCTGGGCATTAGAAAACATACAAAACTGGTTTTAAGGCGCTAAAACAAACACATGAACAAACTTACTGCCATCAACTGATTCACATTTACAGCAACCCAAGAGGACAAAGTAGAACTGCCCCCCTGTGGCTTTTTGAGACTAAATCTTTACAGGTATAGAAAGCCTCATCTTTCTCCTAGGGGGCTGCTGGTAGTTTAGAACTGCTGACCTTGTGATCTCAATCCATAACCCACTACACCGGGAGTTCCTTCATTTGATAAATATAATTAGGAATATGGTCTGATTTTTTTCCTCCAGGCTTCTGGGGATCGGCCTGAGAATTCCTATGGGGTATACACATGTACACCCTTGAAGGGGTTGTTAATAAGCCTTCCTCCAGGGGAAGAGGACAGAGCGCCAGCCCTGGGCCTGGCATGGGGATTCTGTCTTCTAAGCCCTCATCAGCTTTTCTTCCTGCCACTTACAAGCACTGCCCAATTCCAACGGCCACAGTTGTTGTCAGTCCTCATCTGGGTCCTGATGTCCTTTCCTGCCTTTCCCTCTGCAAGTCCTCTGTGCTGTACAAGCTCCACCCCAGAACCCAGGTCCTGCAAAGCTCTTGCTCCCCACCCTGATCCTCGTGCCAGTCTTCGTGCCACCTCAGCCTGCCTTGTCTCCCCACTTAGCTCCCCGACTTGTCATCGCTCACCTTGCTGGCACCATTATTATTACCCACATCTCATCCCCCTGGAAACTGAGCCTCGAAGATCTGAAGTCACTTACCCAAGGTCACAAGGAAATTGGTGGGGCCAAGATTGGTCCCCAGGCTAGATCCCAGTGCCTGAACCCCAAATGAGCAAAGATGGTCTCTGGCACACCTGTTGGCTCTTCCAGCACCTTGATTAGAAGCATGTACACCAGAAACAGTCAGCATGTTGTTGCATGGATGATGGTGTGAGTGTTAAAGGAGTGAATCATCCTGCCCAACACCCAAAGGAAATGGTCCCATGTCTTTCCTGGCACACTCCTGGGAAGGGCCTGTGGCTTGAGATGAGGCTGAGATAGCCAGTGCTCTGAAACCATCAGCAGGATTCCGTGCCTCTCCTGACAATGGCTGTGTCTGAAGGCAGGCTTTGCTGGCAGCTCCAGGCTCATGAGCCTGTCCTAGAGCCCCCCCCACTGTGGCCAGGGCACCGGGTTAAGTAGGTAGGCCTGCACAGAGCATGTTACTGAAGAGATCTTGAGATGCTGCCACCAGGCGTTGGGAGGCAGGTGTGGCAAGCAGTGACTATCAAGTGTCCATTCTACCTTGTTTCTTACAGGACCTGGTGGACTGGCAGAAGCCGCTGCTGTGGCAGGTGGGCTACTTGGGAGAGAAGTATGATGAGTGGGTCCACCAGCCGGTGCTCAGGCCAATCCGCCTCTTTCACTCAGACCTCATTGAGGCCCTCTCCAAGACTGTCTGGTGAGCCTTGCTCCAAACCCATGGTGCCAACCAGATCGGAAAGGGGAAGGCGCTGTGGGGCCCCTCCTCCAAGCTAAGCTCTTGGGGATGGTGCGGTGTGCCTTACCTACAATCCAATCCTACACATGAGTTTGACCTCTCACTGCGTGACAAGCTAACATGTAGCTAGAAACTGTCTCTGATGCCACCCCATGCTCCTTTCCAGACCCTCAGTCCTGGTTTCCCACCCTCTGATGGCCACGGGGAGCCCTGGGGAATGCAGACGGTTAGGCACTGGACTCCTAAGTGAGAGGCTAGCAGGTTAAGCCAACCCTGAGGCACCTCAGAACTAAGGCCTGGCAATTGCCATCTGAAAGGTCACAACCTGGAAAACCCAACGGTGCGGCTCTACTCTGCACCTGTGGGTCTCCGGGAGTCAGAATTGACCCGCCAAACCATGCCTTTGGCAACAATTTTGCCTGCAATTTGTTGATCCGACACAAGAGGTCAGTGTTTATCCAGCTACTCAAAGGCAAGTAGCCGGTGGACACAATTCTCTCCTGCCAGGAATTCGTCTCAGAATCAGGGGCTTGTGGACTTAACCTCCTTTCCCTTCATTTTGCCTCTTCCCACACCACAGTCCCGTGACCCCAAGTCTCCATACGCCTTCTGCATATGCTTCGGGCTCAGTTTGACACCTAGGGTCAGTAGGTAGGGAAGCCCGACCCCATCAAGCCCCCATGCATATGCCTCTCCGCCCTGCTGTCCCTCCTGCAGGTACAGTGTTCCCCTCATCTGGGTTCCCCTGATGCTGTACCTTAGCTGGTCCTGCTACCGAATCCTCGCCCAGGGCAACGTGCGGCTCTTCACGTCCTTCACCACAGGTAACTCCACCCCCGGGCCTGCCTGATTGGCTCCCGCCGCCCCGGGAGGTGGAGCCCTCGGTGGACACCTAGTCCTGAGTTTCTGAGCTCGTGAGAGCCCGAAGTTCCATTTCTGGGGCATCGAAGGGAGCCCTGGCTGGAGAGAAGGGGGAAGCCTGGTGACGCAGCGGTTAAGCACTCGGCGGCTAACCGAAAGGCTGGTGATTTCAGCCCACCAGCCGCTCCATGGGAGAGAGAGGCGGCCGCCTGCTTCCGGAAGGACGACTTGCAGCCTTGACAAGCCTATGGGCTCGTTCTACTTGCTCCGCCCTACAAGGTCGCTGTGGGTCGGAATCCACTTGACCACAGTGGTTTGGGGTCTGTGGAAGTAAGTCCCCGAGCTCTGGTTCCGGAGTGTCGTGGTGACGCATTGAGGTTGTTGTTTCGGCTTTAGAAATAGTGTTCTAAGGAAAGCAATTGCTAGACCCTCCGCCCGCCCCCTCACCCAGCCCACCACCACCAAACGGATCCAAGGAGCCACCAGCAACAGGGCAGCAGAGAGTAAACCGGGTCGTTCGTCAGGGGGCCATTGTCATGAAAGGGGCTTTCCCAAGCACTTGGGCGACCCCGAAGCTGGATGACAGCACTCTACTGGGTGAAAGCTGCTAGTGCCGTGTCCCTCCAGGGGCTGCTACAGGGGCCAGCTCCTCTCCCCGCCTGCTTTCCCAGGGACCCCTCTCTGCCCTGCCCAGAGCCCACCAGCAGACGCTATTCTCCCCTTTCAGGAGGAGGAAAGATGGGGTCCCCTGGGTACAGGGTGCCCTCCGCTTGGATGCTAGGGGCAGGAGACAGAGAGGGGCCAGCTAGGGATGCAGGGGGGGGGATGGGGCGGAGTTTCAGGGTGGCCCACAATGTGTGGGGTGTGGCCCCTCCCACCAGCCTGCTCCGTGGGCGCACTGCCTACCTTGGGCAAACCAGATGGCCTGTCCATGTTGGCATAGCCAGCCTGGGGAGGTGCCGGCCTAAGGGGGCTCAGGTGGAGTGCCAGGATGGGGAGGGTGCTAGGAATACCCAGTCCCCTAGGTGGGCTCCCTGCCTCCCCTCTAGGATGCCCCTTGGGGAGGGGCCCTGGCTTGTCCACAGAACCCAGGCTGGGGGGTCAGTGTGAAAAAGCTGTAGGTGCCACTTCCCCATCCCACCCCACCCCCCAAATACCAGCAGCTCCTGACCCCTGAGAGTTAATGGGCATCCTGAGACTCACCCTTCTCAGCCCACACTGAATAGCCCAGGCACAGCACAGGGCTTGTTGCTCCAGAGGCCTGCAGGCTGAATCACCCACTGTCCCCCAGCTCCCCTAACAATTGCCAACAGTGACGGGGACCAGTGGCCCAGAGAGGGGAGGGGCAGGCCAGAGCCTTGGCCCAAGGCCCTTGGCGGATTCCTCCAGAGATGCCACGCGGTACCAGCTCCATCCCTACAGGCAGGCAGGGCCAACAGTGGGGTGAGGGGGTGGGCAGGCACTTGACCTATCGGAGGGGACCATTCTAAGTGTCAGGGTGGGCTGAGCCTGGGTCAGAAACCCTGGCCTCTGCAGAGAAAGGCAGCATGTCTGCCTCAGCTGTCCCTTCCCCTCCCCCAAACACCTCCTGGCTCCACTGACTCACTGCCTGCCCTGAGGCAAGCAGGTGCTTCCAAGGGCAGGCTCCCTGCCCCCCCATGATGCACCCAGAACAGCCTTGGAAGCCGCCTCATTTTGGTCCCCGGGCCCCATCAGGGTGACCAGCTCCAAAGCTGCTGAACTCAGGCATCTGGGGCTCCCCGCATGGTGGGCCTCAGGGCCCTTTGCCCTGACCGGCCCCTCCTGGCTGCCCTGCAGAATACTCGGTTCCCGTGCCCAAGTCCATGTTCCCGGGCCTCATCCTGTTGGGAATGCTCTTCTGGACCATCCTTGAGTACCTCATCCACCGCTTCCTGTTCCACATGAAGCCCCCAAGTGACAGCCACTACCTCATCATGCTGCACTTCATGTTGCACGGCCAGCACCACAAGGTGAGGGCCAGCCACCGCTTGTAGGTGGCAAGGTACCGACAGAGACTGCAGGGGGAGTGGGGAAACCTGTGACCCAGGGGGATGTTTATGGCCTTGCTCAGGGGTACCAGTTACTCATGGTGCATCCAAGCATCAGACTCTTTGAGCTTCACGATAAGGCCCTTCCTAGTTCCTTCAGCGCTGGGTGGGGGCCAGGCATGGTTCTAGACTTCAAGGAAAACAATGGAGGCATGGCCCTGCCGCCCCCACAGCCGCCCGTGAAGCTTCCTCATAAAGGAGACACTGTGGTTCTCCCTGATGCTGGGGTCTCATGGACATCAGCCCTTGCTGTGGGCCCCACACTCCCAGCTACTGACCAGAGTGGCTTCTACGCCCCCACTGGAAGTCCTCTCCTGCAAAGTGTCTTCTGGGGGAGAGGGACTCCCCTTTGAAGAGACAGAAGATGTGAGGCAAAGCCCAGAGTTTGGGGCTCACCGGGGTGGGGGACTCTTCTTCCCCCTCCAGTCCCCAGTGTCTGTCTGGGCAGCCCTCCTTGAGCCACTGGGGCACCCAGCCTCCCCAGGAGAGGCACAGCCTCCCCTGAAGGGGACTGCTTGGCTGGGTACTGTCTCCCGGCTCACACAGGCCCCCGGCCTCCCCAGGCTCCCTTCGACGGCTCCCGCCTGGTCTTCCCACCTGCACCTGCGTCGCTGGTGATCGCCTTCTTCTACATGCTGGTGCGCCTCCTCCTGCCGGAGGCAGTGGGGGGCACTGTGTTCTCCGGGGGCCTCCTAGGCTATGTGATCTACGACATGATGCACTATTACCTGCACTTCGGCTCGCCGCACAAGGGCTCCCTGCTGTACAACCTAAAGACCTACCACGTGAAACATCACTTTTCCCACCAGAAGTCAGGTGAGGACAAGGGCGCCCGCAGCCTCCGAGTGTCTGCACCCCGACCTGCCCTGGGCTCCGAACTGGCCTCAATCACTTCAGACAGAATGCAGGTGGGGGTGTGGGAAGGACTATGTCGGGGGAGCCCAGCTCAGGCTGATAGACAAAATGAGTTTTAGTCATCTATATTATTTGAATCTAGGATAAGGGGGCTGTGGAAGGTATGTGGAATTCAAAGATAACGTGCGTACGTCTGGGAGTCTCCGCCCTGGAGGTGGAGTGGTTACACGTCAGGGCGCTAAGCACCAGCTGCTCCACCCACGAGAGACGGAGCCAGAGACACCCCATAACTAGTCAGTCTCAGAATCCCACAGGGGCATGTCCTCCCTGGCCCCTGGGGTCGCTGTGAGTCGGAGCAGACTCCCTGGCCATGCGTGTGGTTTTATGTATCAGACATGGTATCGTTCCAGCACATGCGTATGATCAAGGTCAAGCAAAGCGGCGAGTGAGATAGTCAACCCTCTTGCTCACACCACGTCTGCGTCCATTTGGGAGCTCAGTTGTTGGAGAAGAGCTGCCCAAGGCCCCTGGCCACCGCAGGCTCCCACGCCTGTTTCCCGAGACATGCTCATCGCTCTCCACTAGCCCGGGGCTCAGCACACTTGTGAGACAAAGAACCAACCCTGACCCTCACAACAATGTCAAAGTCATTGGATAACCATAAAGATGTTTTTACCAACAAGTTAAATCACCATTATTCGAATAATAGTTTTATCTTCATTTCGACCATACTCCAGAGCCAGAGCATCAAAGGGGATTCAGCCTACCAGGGGGCTTTGAAAAGTTCGTGGAAAAGGGGGAATTCAACGGTCCTGGCATCTTCCCACGAACTTTCGAACCCCTGCATATCACCCTTCTGCATCACTGGGGCTCGGTCACCACACGGGTGGCTGGAGGCTACCATGCTGAACAGCGCAGCTGGTGATTAAGCACCCCGGACAGGCAACGCTGCAGGCCATGGTCGTGAGGGGTATATGAAGAGGCGAGGCCGGCAGGGCCAGGCCTGTGCAGGACCTCTGGCAGACAGGATCAAGGGGCTCTTCAAAGGCACCCCTGAGAGCCTAGACAACCCTGTGCCCTGCCCCTGGCTGGTGAAGTAGTTGACGTGGTCCCCTCCTGCTCACCCTGCCTGGCTCCTCCCCCGACACATGGGCCTGCCACACTCCACAGAGCCCCCATCACCAACCTGTTTTTTTCCTCCTCTAGGATTTGGCATCACCTCCAAGCTGTGGGATTACTTGTTCCACACCTTGGTCCCAGAGGAGCCCAATCTGAAGACCCAGTGACCACGGTGCCCAGCCCTTGGTCCTGCCCCACCCCCACCCCTGCTGAGAAGGTTTGCTTGGCTACACAACAACGCAGGCTTGGTGGCAGTTGCTGGGGAGACCTCGAGCCAGGACTTGACCTCCTGACCCACCTCGGGGTGGCAGATGGTCCTTGGGGACAGGCTCTTCCCTGGAGGAAACATCTCAGCCTCTCCGCCAAGAGCCTCAGGCCACAGGATTGCTCCAGGCCCCGCCCACCACGGCCACTCTCAGGGGCATGAAGGGAACTGATCCCTGGCAGTGGACATCCCAACAGGTCAGCCCCAAGATGGGGGCCTGCGGAGGGCAGGGGGGGCGCTGAGAACACCACCACCACCACCCCTGCCTCCTGGCACTTCCTGGAGAGCTTGGTGCTCCTGGGGAGGGGTGCCGAGGTGAGGTGGGGCTCTCACGACTGGACACCTCCAGGGAGAGCTGCCTGGCCAGCTTCAGAGCTATCCACGGATCCAGCTATTGGGCTAGATGCCTTCCCAGGGCACCACCCCACCACCCGCCCAGCCTCGCCAGCCCTTGCAGTGGGCCGAGGTGCAGCGTGGTGGCCTTGGGGCTGAGGGGAGCCCAGACCCCTGTCTTTCGGAACCAACAATTGCTCCAGCCAGAACCACACAGGTTCTCCCCACGCGCGCGGCTGAAGGTGGTCTATCTCTCGGGCAGAGCCCTCCCCCAGCTCTGCTTACTCGAGACCCTCCCTGCCAGGACCGCCTTTCACTGACAAGAAGCTTCTTGGGTGCCTTACCCCCACCTCTGGGTCCCTGCCCACCCACCCCCACCCCTACCCTGCAGACGAGATCCAGATGCCTCTGTGGCCTCACAACTGAAACCCTCGCTGCACAAAGAGGGTCTGCCAATAGATGGCAGCAACGGCCCGGGGCTGACCCAGGCCGAGTAGCTGGTCAGACCCGTCCTCTTTTTAATTCTAAGTGTTGGTCCAACATAAAAATTAAATAAAAACTGCTTTGCCTTAGTTTGGTCCCCCAAGCGATTACTACTTGAATCTTTTTAAAAACAAAACTTAATGAGTGTAAAAACTAAGGAGAAGCCATTTCATCCTGTGATTTGTAATGTTTACTGCAGAGATATTTAAAGATTTTGGAATAAGTAACCCATGACAACAGTTGTGAAATAAAGATGTAAATAAATTGTATATTTTGAAAAATAAAACATTGAAAAGAAAAACAACAAAGGCTGGTGGTGGCCCGTCAGACCATGTCATGACTTGAAGTTGGGAGACAGAGGGAGAGCTGGAGAGGGCGGGGCTCCCTGAGACCCTGTTGGATAACTGGGGCCTGGTAAGGAGAACAAGCTGGCTGCTGCCCCCTGGGCTTTGTTACTGTTGCATGTTCTCTGCAGAGGCAGCCCCCTCATTGCCTGAGCAAAGGGCATCGTGACCCTCCCTGCTCCCCAGCCTTGGTTCACCACAGAAGAGGGCTCTCCCCTGGATTTCTGGAACTCCACTGAGACCCCAGTTGACTCTCCTAACCTCCAGGAACCAGACCTTCCAGGCCTGGAGCACTTTTGGGGGGCAAAGGGGTGACCGGGAGGCAGTGGGGCAGGTGGGCAAGAAGAGCGGGCCTGGGTCAGTCCGCTTCAGCTCGCACCTTCCACGGGGGAGGCCTGGCTCCGTGCCTGGCCAGTGCTGCTCTAGGTGTCCCAGGCACCACCGGGAAGCTGCCTTCTGCTGTGAGGTGCAGCCCCATAGCAGAGCTTCCGGCAGACTAGGAAGAACAGGATGGCAACAGGGTGGAAACCTGCCCGTGAAGCCCCGTGGCTCCCTACAGCACGCACCCCCCCCCAGTTCCCCTTACAGCGTGCACACACACACACACCGCCCCCCCTGATGATAGTGACAGGGCAGCACTTCACTCCATTGTGCACCGGTCACCCTAGGGCAGGAGGGACAAGATGGCAGCTCACCATCTGGCAGAACAAGCTGGGCCCGCTGGGCCACACTCAGGGTCTGGTTTAGTAGGGCTGGGCCTGAGGTCACTGTGCATGAGAAGGCCTGGCCAGAAGGGTGCCTGCCCCTGCCCCACTCCCTGTTCTCACACCCCGGTAGGTAGGTGATTCTACCCCTCCTAAAGGGATGTGGGGGCCCCTCCCCTCAGCTTCTGGAACCTGGGCCATCCGCTCAGCTATAAGATAGCATTTGGGGGCTGAGTAGAAGTCAGACCCCCTGGCTGTGACATGGATACACAGGAGGAGCAGGAGGTTGATGCTCTGACTTGCACATCCACAGAGAAGAGTCTGCTTTGAAAAAGACAGGCAGTGCTTTGGTAAAAACAATATTCTAAAGAGACACAAATCTTGTAAGAAAGGCCAAGGCCTCAGTGAGTCTGCAGGGTGGGAATGAGATTTCAGGGGAAAAGTTGGGAAGTAACGCAAAACCAAGCTAACCCCCTCAAGAACTGGGAGTAGATGGCGGCCCAGTAACTGCCCATGGCAGTGCCCTCTGCTGGGTCTGCCCGGGACGCCTGAGAGAGGCCCCATCGGATGGGGATGCAGTGGGTGTCCAAGGAGAGGAACACAGGCAGGCGTCCCAGCGCCTGAAGCTCCAGCTGGTCAGCACTGACCTGGCTGTCACCATGTCCAGAATCACCCGACAGAAGGGTGATTTTTATTAAGTGCACAAGACATCCTCAGTAAGTCTTGTGCACCCTAAGGCGAGTGAGAAGGTGCATTATAAAACACGAGTACTGTCCATCTGGAGGGGCCCTGGTGGCCTAGTTGGTTCCATGTTGGGCTTGCTAGCCACAGGGTGAGTAGTTCTAAACTACCAGCCGCTCCCTGGGACAAAGACGAGGCTTTCTATTCAGTCAAGAGTGAAAGTCTCAGAAACCCACAGTTGCACCCTGTCCTGACAGTCACTATGGGTCTGAAGCAACTCAGTTGTGAGTGTTCTTTGAAATGAAAGAGAAAACCCGGAGCCACTGGTGCCTGATGGGGGTCATCATCATGCCCAGAGACAAGCCTTGCAGTGGAGGCCATCCTGACTCACAGCGACACTGCAGGAGAGGGTAGAACTGTCCTGTAGCAGTCCCAAGGGCAGCAGACTACCTCTTCTTTCTCTCCAAGAGTGGCTGACTCACCAACAGAGCAGCCCTGCGCTTTACCCACGGCATCACCAGACCTCCTTGGAAGGAAAGAAGATACAAAAAATACCAAGAAAGTTTAAACACACACACACACACACTCACAAGGCGGTGGTTCGCTGTGACCCCAGCAATTCCCATCACCTACTCCTCTGCCTTCAGCAGGGTCTGCAGCCATTGGGGTTTCCTTTGGGCCACTGTGCTTACTTAGCAAACGGGCATTTCTTGGCTGACCTAAATAAAGCACTGCTTACTTCGCTTTGCGCCTTTGTGTGGCTCTGCCTTTGAACTCGGTAAGGTTTCTTATTGTGCCCTGCACAACGGACAGCTTGTAGCAGGGCTCACTAAAGGTCAGTCGTCACCATTGACCAGCCACTTAAACATCGGGGCGGCATCGCCCAGCTGTGTCCTGCCTTCTGCTGCCCTCTGATGGCAGCGTGAGGTACTTCCCCACTCGGGCTGCTTCCAGGGTGATTGCTGTGATTTTTAAAGCAGGACTTTGAACCAGTTCAAACTGGTTCATTCACAGCCCATGCAGCAAAATCAGAACTGACCAGAACTTGTAAAAAGTGACTGGATGGGGAACGTCAGGGGTCGAAGCTCTGGGTTGGGAGGCACAGAAGAAGCCCGGTGAGCCTTTTCCAGGAGCTTGCTGTGGGAGATGGGATTGGTGCCAGGGTCTAGGAGAGAGACACACACATTCAACACAGCAAGTTCAACAGCCATCTGTGGGCAGAGCACTGTGATGTTTGATTCTGCGTCCCAATAGATTTGGTTGCTATGCAACGTGCATACTGCCCTTATTTCCTAAGAGGGAGACTGAGTTTCTCGAAGGGGCTCAGCCTGTGAATTTTCCCATTCCAGTTGCCCTGGTACACCCACGTTTTACACAGTCGGGTCCATTCTGGTTTTGCTTCATCAGACAAGATTGAATTGGGAAGAACCTACTTCAAACCCTGTTCCTAAATTTCAGCATTCCCCACCCTACTTTATCTGTCCGAGAGGAATGTTTAACCGTAGGTGAGCATTTCCCATTTCTAATTTTCCATGTAGCGCTGATGGCTGCAGAAGCTCACTGGTACTTTCACTGCAATTAAGTGCTTTACCCAGTGGACATATTGTATCTATGATAAAACTTGTCACAAGATGCATGTAAAAACCGGAAAACCTGCTTACAACAGACATGATTGACCTATGGAGTGATATGAAATATGTATTAACTCCCAATTCATAAATTTTTCAATAATTAAAATAATAACTTTTTAAAAGACCAAAGGTACTGGCCTGCAAGAGACTGGAGGAACCTGAGCCGATGGCCTTAGACGCCCCCTCCAACGTAACTGAAGAATCACCCTACAGACACACAACAGACAACCTGCGCGGGGAGCAGTCGCACCTGCGAGGAGCGAGCTCCTGGTAGACCCAGCCCGCCGGCCGGAGGGCGAGGTTTGGCCTCAGCAAAGTCCCGGAGGCAGGCAGTGGGCGGGCGGGCGGGAGAGCGGGAGAGCGACGGGACACTGCAACTAAGGTTCGGAAAGCAAATACAAGGCGCTCGGAGTGTTGATCGGAGACTTGTGTGTTCTGTAAACGTCCACACCCACACCCCCAAATCCCAATAAAATGTGCAAAGAAGAAAGTGGGGCGGGAAGTGCGTGCAGAAAAAGAAGAAAGTGGGGCGGGAAGTGCGTGCAGAAGCGGAAGCGGCGCCGGCACCCACGCCCTGGCGCTTTGCACGCCCGCCAACTCTGTCCTTTCCGGAGCAAGGGCCCCTGCTACGTCGTAAGTCCAGCCGTCCGTGGTCCAGAAGGTTCCCGCGGGGCCACACCTGACCCTAAGGAGGTGCCTCCCGCCTCGCCCGCGCGGGGTCTGCACCCACACCCCGGCTCCCGCGGGTCTCATCGGCGTGACCGTCAGCAGCGCCCCGAGAACCAAGTGACCCCTTTCTTTCCTGCATGCCCAGCCGGGAGCGGAGGGCCGCCCTGGGGCACGGGGAG